TCCAGACATAGAAGGACATGCAGTTGGGTTTTGGGTTAGGGTTTAGGGTTTAATTAGGGTTTAGGGTTTAGGGTTTAGGGTTCAAAATTTAGGGCTTAGTCTTTAGGGTATTGGGGTTTGGGATACACCGGGGTCCCAGGTCCCAGTCCAAATTGAGGTTGAAGGTTGGGATGTTCCCCCTTATACTAACAGTCCTTAAAAAGAATTATAGTACGCCCTACTATAATCCTTACTAAGGACTGTTGTTAGTACAGGGGGATCATCCCAAGTTAAAGGCTTCATATACTTAGACTTGACTAGGAAGGGTAGCAGCAGTTAAGGCTAGCACGACTGCGGACCCGTCGCAGCTCAGCCGACAACGCTGGGGTTTAGGGTTTAGGTTTTAGGGGTTTGGGGATGCAGGTAGCTTGGCTGACTCTAAACCCTAAGCCCTAAACCCGGAACCCTAAACCCCAAGCTGCGACCCATATGGAAGTTTACTGTTAGTGGTTTCTACTGAAGAAGCCTGAAAGTTGTTGAAGGTTCTACCCACTGAGCCTTAATGCAAAGTGTCCGGTTGAAGCCTCATCCTGAAACCACTGTTTGCTTAAGAACGCCCCCTCCGCACAAAAAAAAACAATAACAAGCCGTAAAAATGAGAATACTAATGACAATAATACAAACAATAGGGGTTATTTCTTCATCAAGAATAATAGATCTTTTTTTTTTTTTTCTTGGGGGGGGGGGGGGTCCGTAAACAAACAAATAGTAGGTAGCCCAAATAACCCTCAATCCATGGCTGCAGGTGCTACGACACCTGCCTTCGGGGTCGAGCGGGGTCCAGCCTGACGATGGGCGATGACATGGGGGTCTCCGCAATTGGGGGGTACCTTATTGGGGTCCTTATTAAGGACATCCTACTATTTGGAGGTCTTTGGAGGTCTATTTTAGGGCCCCGTATTTTCGCAAGCCCCCACATGTGGCTAGTTGTCTGCAACAGGGTCCCTTTTTGGGGCCTTTCTTTTCAGGATGCCGTGCTATCTAGGGGACCCAAAAAGGGACCCTACTGTAGAGAACTACCCATGTGACTAGCGCGGTCGCGGCCTGAGAGCCTGAAGGGCCTCAAAGCCTTGCGGCCTTAGGATAGCTCATAGGGTTTACCTGATGAGCTCTGAGGCCACTACTTTTGTGGGTTGTCTTTTTTTAAATGCAAACCCGCTGGAAACGATGAGTGGGTGATCTATCAACGGAAGGTGTGGGGTTCTTAAGGTCTGGCTCCTGTGCATTAGGGCACAAGTAGCTACTTAATAGAGGAAAGAGCTAATTCATATATATATATATATATTATTTTATATTGCATGCCCCCCCCCCCTCTAAAAAAATGCTAATGTTGAATGTTGATATTTTGGATCCCCCGGAAATGTTGTAAACTTTTCCGAGCGGATTTGAGCAACCGGAATCGTGTTAAGGAGCTCCTTCTGAAACCCTTTTGAACACTATTCTGGGGTATCTCTTTGTCGGAGGGGGGGGTAGGGGGCCTACACTAATCAGCATACAACGTTAAGGAATTGCCTGGGACTTTTTTTGGTGAGGAAGGACTGGTGCATTCTGCGCTTTCATTGGGGCCATATTCCCAACTTCGCCATGAAGAGCCCGAAGGTTGAGTAGACGGGGGTCTGCGCTTGAAAGGCACCTCGATTTAGGGTTTAGGGTTTCCGGGTTTAGGGTTTCCGGGTTTAGGGTTGAGGGTGGTGGGGACCCGGACAATCCGTTTTTTGAGGCATGGGGCTGGAATGAGAGAAGACAAGAAGACTCTGTCAGGCTTTGCGATGTACGGGAGCATCTGTATGTGGGCACCAGGACGGCAAAGTTCTAGCCAGTGACTGACAGGCTGTCCTTCCATAACACTCCGGAGCACAATGCACGTACGGCGCCTGGGTCGTCGCGAGTCCCCACTTAGTGCCCTCACGGAGACGCTCTGCAAATCCGGTAAGCACAGCCCTGAACGCCAAAATCCCAACGCCCCTCACAGCATCTCCTCGTAGGGTTCTACAGTCAACAATACTGGTATACTTCCTACTGCGCTGACCCTCAATCAATCCCTCAGTTGCGAAACCAACCGAAGCCCAAGCACTTAAACCTTAGAAACCCCTTATGTGTGTTTACCCTGCGAATAGAAGGATCCCCTTCTAATAATTTCGGAAACCCCCTTATCACACACAGAGTCACGCAGTCTCACGCCACCTGAGACGCTGGTGCTTTCGGTGTACCTGCGAAGCGCCAGAGATCGCGTGAGGCCAAGTCGGAAACTTAGACATCTACATCAAGATTGGGGGTTGGGATGTTGCCCCTTTCCTAACAGCTCCTTAATGGGGATTATACTAGGGGGTACGATGATCACCATTGAGGCGTAGGGTTCAAGTTTTATGCATCATACTAGCTGGCGCGTGGCGCGCCACGATAATACCCCCCCCCCCCCATTCCCCCCATTCCCTCCCTTGAGGCCAATAAGCACGCGCGCACACACACACATGCGTACACACACATATATACACACACACACACACATATATATATATATATAGATATATACATATATATATATATACGTATATGCGTGTACATTTATGCTTTCCTACCATATAAACGTTTTTGTATGTACATACATATTCTGTTTATACCACCATAACCACAAACAAAGAGACAACCAGGCAACATCCACACGCGCAAGTCTTGAGGCACACAACATGCAAGAGCCGGGAGACTTGCGGATGTTCTCCGGGGCTTTCCTATCGGCAATCAGAAGGGAACCCTAAACCCTAAACGCTAAACCCTAAACCCTAAACCCGTAAACCCTGAACCCTAAACCGTTTGAAGCGATTCGTGTATGCAATTTTGTCCGGGGGGGAGGGGGTGTTACGGTTCATGTTGATGGAGCCTTACCTGTCAAGAGGGGCAACAAAGGGTACCGCAAGGGGGACCCTAGTTGCAAGGCATCGTCTTTTGCCGCCCAGGCGAACTCCATAGGAGTGTATCTACTAGGCGGTGTGCCGTTGAACAGTCAGCCAAGCGCCAAGTGATCGCCGATTAGGAATCTGAGACTGAGAACCAGTACGTAAGGGCTGCATACCCCCAAACCCCTGACCCCGAAACCCTAAGCCCTAAAATTCTAAACCCTAAGCCCTAATCCCTAAACCCTAAACCCTAAACCCCTCTTCTCGGCCTTCGTTGGTCAACTCTCGCACACCCCTTCCAGTCGGGCTCCCCAAGCCCCGTCCGCGCACAGCAGGTGGTCTCTGTGCATCGGCGAAGCCGTGGAGGCGTATGCCGATACCCTAAACCCTTTTGAATACTGGGCTCCGGACCCTAAACCCTAAACCCTAAACCCTACACCCTAAACCGACCCCCTTTTCAGCCCTCGGCAAAATGGGGGGGTTTACGAAAATAGGGGACCCCTAGAGTAGACCCTCCAAATCGTAGGGGTACCCCCCCGAATTTGGGAAACCCCCAAAAAATAAGTGACTCCTCGATGAGTCAGATCCTCTAACGCCTATAGGCGATGCCCCTCTACAACTGGGAAATCTCGTCGGCTACTCCTCTAAGTTTTGCAGCTAGGAAACCCTAAACCCTGAAGCCTAAACCCTACACCTTTTACATGCAGCCTCGCTGGACTGACCGTCTCCAGTTTCCCAGGTGGGTTTTATATGTTTTTCATGGCCGAATCTCTCACTCAACATTGGCCTCCACGACAGCAAACAAAAAACCTCTTTACGAGGCACGCTATTCGATGCTTTGGTTTTCCTATGCAATCCAAGGAGGGGTGGGTGGGCAGGTAGAGGCCTACGTTGGGCCCCAAGAACCCTCAGCACTAGGATGTCACAGTAAGGCTCGTAAACGGAGCTCTGTTTTGGGGGAAGGGAGTTGAAGGGTTGTCGGTTTTGGGGGACTGGGTTCAAGTCATTTTTGAGCCACAGCAAGCTTCGTCACGCCTGTCTCTACGCATTTGCCACGAGACTGGAGCCTCAAAAGTTTTTCTTTTTGTTTTCCGAACCTGTTTGTGCCTACTTCTTCCAAAACCCTAAACCTCAACCCTCATCATGTAGTAGATCCTATCAATGGGAAAACATCGAACACACATAAAATCTTAGCCTGGATGGTTCGCTGTATTTTGGGGGCTCGAGCGGGGTCTTCGTAGATGTCCAAGCTTCTTTAGGTGCCATCCTTTGGTGTGAAAAGAACCCCTGAAAGGGCTTGTGTTTCATGTGCCTTGATAGGGAGTATAGTAGCGACATTTATACACTATCTGGGTTTGCCCCAAAATTTCGAAACCTAAAGACCAGGCATGTTTGAACCCGGACACAGAACTGGTCAGTGCAAAACAAGTCTCAAGCACTTGCTCGAATGGACAAGCCTGCAATCATAAAGCTTCGGTTTCTAGGGGTTGCATCTGGCTGTTTAGGGCTAGGGCTTAGGGCTCCATGCAAATTTCAAGTGTTATCTGGTCTAAGCCCTGTCAAGCCTTGCCTGTAATTTGCACTAACAACTTCGCGGCAGGGCGGCGGCAGAGACAGACGTTCGGAAATGCAGGATGCTAAAGCGCATTTGCGCTACCTGCGCATGTCTGAGACTAGAGCCTTCTCGCGGTGCCTCCACGCCTCACCTTCTATTCATTAACCTCGGTTGCACCTCCCTCTTTCCCAAGGTGAGGTGGGAGGGGCTTGTCCTAAGTGGTCAAATCTGGCCAAGCTAACCCCTAAACCCTAAACCCTGAACCCCAAACCCTAACCTAACCCCTACTGGGATTCTTGCCTCTGCTCACTAAATGCCCAGGATTTTCAACTCGGCTGCCCAGTAACATAGGCTTAAAAAGGGTGCCCTTTTTTCTTAAAGGGGTTTATAAGTGAACCTAAACCCCCAAAAAGGGGATAAGGGTACTACTGGGCATCCTAGTCAAGGTTTTTTTGCTTGGAGTTGGCTGAGTCTCCCTTCTCAGCCCCATTAAGGTCAACAGAGAACAGCGCTCAGCTGTGCAGCAGGGAGGTCTCCAAGTCCTGGTGGGTTTAGGGTTTAGGGTTTAGGGTTTAGGGCGATCTGTGGCCCTTCTTTCAGAGTTTTGGGTTCAGGGGGCTGGGATTCACTACTATTTGCTTAAGAGCCCCCAAACTGTAAAAAACATTAATCTCCTTATTGCCTTACAGGGAAGAATATGTTTGATTTTTTTATGGGTTCTTAAGAAAACAGTATTTCAGCCATAAGGACTGGCTGGTTCTTAGTAGGGAATGAGGGAATGCGGGCCCTATATACACCCTTTAAGGGATTATATAGGGCCCTCATTCCCTCATTCCCTACTAGACCAGCCGCCAGCCCTGGAAATGGCTTCGGATTCGCTGATGCAACTTCAGGGTGGGGTCTTCCGGGGACACCTGATAGGGTTTAGGGTTTAGGGTTATTTGCTTGGGGGTCAGGATTGCGAGCTGGAGCTATATACGAGAAGTGGCAAGAAAGCTCCCACATGCCCAACATAACGCGGGCCAAGCCTAATCCCTAAACCCTGAACCCTAATCCAACCTAAGCGCTAAACTAGCAAGGGTTTAGGGTTTAGGGTTTAGGGTTTAGGGTTTAGGGTTTAGGGTTTAAATAGGGTAAAACCTTGATTTTTGGACGTCCTGGCCTTTGAAGCTGGAACCTGCACAAAGGTCCCAAGCACTCGGATGCACGCATCAAGTTCGCTCCAGCAATGAGATTGTAGGGTTTGGGGCTTTAGGGTCACCCGTCTGGCCACGCATTTTTCACTACCGCAGAACTGCAAAGCAGGTTTGCATCCTCAGGGTTTAGGGTTTAGCCACAAAAAAAGATGACGACGGCCCTCATTGTCCTATTAATTGGGAAGTTTGGGGAGCCCGGGGGGGGGGGGGGGGGCAGCTCATCCTGTGATCCTCCCTAAACCCTAAACCCTAAACCCTGTGAGTCAGGCAAGCTGTTAATTGCACCCTGCACCGTCACCCCCTCCCCCCTCATGCCCCCTTCAAGGGAACTCCCAAGGCCTCTTGAACCTCGAAAAACCCCCCAGAGAATGCCAACCCATCAGCTTACATATTCACACACACACACACACTATCCCTCTTCCAGAAAACTCCAATACCCTTCTTTTGGACAGCCCTCATACTTTCAGGAACATGCCACAAGTAAAGAGGGGCTGGGCTAACACCGATTTAGGGTTCCCAAACTCCGGGGGGGGTGAAGAGGCTTAAAGGGGCTTTAGGGTTCAGGGTTGAGATGTTCCCCTAAGACTGACAGTGCTTAAGAGGGACAATAATGGGGGGGGGGGGGGGGGAGACTGTGAGTATAAGGAGGATCATCCCAAGTTTAGGGTTAGGTGGGGGCTAGGGGGGGGTGTAGGGACTTGCCCTAAACCCCAAACCCTAATCTCGCCTCCTTGGTGCCTTCCACGATCGGATCCTTCTTCATGAAGCCGATGTCCCCGTCTTCCTTGGCTTGCTTGGAGGTTCAGGGTGCTGATGAACCAAGTATAACTGTTTAGGGCTTAGGGCTTAGGGCTTAGGGCTTAGGGTTTAGGGTTGGGATGACTGTACTTTTGGCCCACTGATAAGCCCGAATGTTTTTTGTAATTGGGTTATAAGTAGAACTACTATTGGGTTAATAGGTAGCCTGGACCTCCAAGTAGCACCAGTGACCATACCATAATAAAGGTACCCTTTTTTGGGGGGCTGGTCTCTTGACAAGGGTACCTTGAGCCACAAAAAAGGAAGAAGGTACCACTGGGCTGCCAAGACAAAACGGCTGAAGTGTTTAGGATTCGTGGTTATTCAGGGTTCAGGGCTTTGACTGAGTTGGCCCTCGACACCCACTTTGAACCTGGAGTGAGATGGGCTGCCGGGTCCCCAAGACTAGAAGTCTGCTGGCTTAAGAATGATCCCTAAACCCTAAACCTGCGCCCTGAGACCTAAACCCTAAACCCTGAACCCTGAACCCTAAACCCTAAACCCACTCGGCTCACGACGAACCCAAAACCTCTTCGTTCCACCACATCAAGCTCCCGACAATAGACTTGTGAGTCTGAAGCGTAAGCTCGGACGGGAAGTTCTCTAAGCTATGGTAGGGTCTCTGGGTACCCTGAGTATGACAACCCAGATCGCATTTTCTTAGATACCTCGGGAACACTGAACAAAAGCCAAAACTCTGAACTACGAACATCCCTTTCCGAAACCTTACATGCAATGCTGAGCAGCCAGGTAGTTCACGAAGGTCTTCCTCGATGGTTGCCGCGTCAAGCTTCGGGGGTAGGGGTTGGGGCATGTAGGAGTTAACGGTTTAGGGCTTATTTCTGCCACCCACAAAGAAGACCAGCCACCCTGCAGGGCAACACATCCGGGCTGAGTATAGGGGTTCGGGTACCCTCGTAGCATGTGGAGATCTCTACAACCTACACGTCCCTTCAGCATGAGGGCCTGACCCTGCTTTTTGTCGTATGTACGTATCTATGTCTGTACGTATGTATGTATGTATGTATGTATGTATGTATGTATGTATGTATGTATGAGCGCATGTATGTATGCATGTATGTATATCTTTATACACACACATATGCATATATATATATATATATATTGATTTGTTTATTTATATTATATATATACATACTATGTGAGACCTTTTTAGGAACCTACCGCGTATACACGCGGTCAAGGTCTCCAGTATACGTCGTTGTTGCTCTTTCGTGCTTTGGACGCCTGCAGCAATTAAAAAAACATGGCCCAAACCCTAAACCTTAAACTCTAAACCCTAAACCCTTAGGCTGTTGACTTCAAGGTAGGATTGCCGGCCCAGGCCTTTTTCAGTGTTCAGGCAACCCGGAGCGCCCCATACCCTTTTGACTTAAAGGGATGTACCTTGAAGGTGTTTAGGATTTAGGGTTTAGGGTTTCGCTTTCAAGGATTCCCTACACAGTCTAAGGTCTATATTCCTTACTTCGAGGGCGTTGGGCTCTCCGCAAAGGTGGGCCGGAACCAAAAAAAAACACTGCAGAATGGAGGCCTGTCCTTGACTCTTGCAATGCCACCGCCGAGTTTACCCTAAACCCTAAACCCTAAACCTAAACCCTAAACCCTAAACCCTAAACTAAGTTAATTTGTCCAGTGCAGGGCACCAGAAGGCCCTCAACCCTTTTGAAGCTTCTGCCACTGGACTGAGGTCTCGCCAAACCCTAAACCCTAAACCCTAAACCCTAAACCCCAAAACCCTAAACCCTAAAAGGTGAAGACATGAGCCTTGTTAGAAAAAAGGGCAGCAGCCCAGCTTCTTCGTGATCATCCCAACCAGCTCGCCAAAGCTGCACACCAGCCTGGCCCACTCAACCCTAAACCCTAAACCCTAAACCCTAAACCCCCCTCAAACCGAAGCCCCTGGAACAACGAAGGGGGCGGCAAGTTCTACTACTTGCCTAAGGCCTAAGAACCCACAAAAAACACAAACACAAGAGCCCCTATGTTGCCCTTATAGGGAAGAATGTTCTGATTTTGTTGGGTGTTCTTAAGCAATTCGTAGAGTTTTGTCCGGAACCCCTTACCACGCATTGACCTAAACCCTAAACCCTAAACCCTTTTTGAGGGGTGCCTATGAAACCACAGCCTATGCCCGAAGTCCGTCAGATCCGTGATCTGCGCATGTGCATGCGAGGTAGGGTGCATATGACTCGGTTTAGGGTTTAGGGTTTAGGGTTTTATGGTTCTTCTTGGTGCGTGTTTACACCCTGTCGCTCGAAATACCCTTGCTCAAGAAGTTTCGGGGTGTATGGTGGGCTGGGAGGCTCATCCTTTCTGAAGGGATTGCAAAACCACCATAAGCCTGAGTTCATTTTTGGTGCACCAAAGCGCCTTCTCTACAGTAACCCTCAGCTAAACTACCCCCCCTTCGTCTCGGAGTCTGGGAAATCATGCATCTATGTCACCTTCAAGGTTTGGAGCAGTGACGACTGTTGTTGCTGTAAAGCCTCTCTCCTGTCGTGAAGTTAGAGGGGAGGGAAGGGGGGGGGGGGGGGGGGGGCCCCTAAACCCTAAACCCCAAACCCCAACCCTAAACCCCACTCCTCAAAAAATCGTGCTCCCTGCTGCCCCCAAGGCGACTCTGAGCCGAGCAGCACCAGCTTTAAGCCGAGCCTGGGGGGGAGCGGGGGCCAGGGACTCCAATACCCCTTAATTGGGTGGTACGGTTTAGGGCTTAGGGTTTGGGATTTATGAATAGACTCCCTTATCAGGAAAGAAGGGAAATAAAAAAACTATCCAAAAGAACAACCCAGTTAATCAGGGAAGATACCTTAACATATGCGAGGGTTCCTTATGTGGCTTAAGGAATATTACTTACTTAAGGGGTATTGGAGTCTCTGGGAGGAGGGGCAAGAGGAAAGCTGAAGCTTGGCAAGAGCCGAACTGACGCCAACAACAACATCGGTTTTGTGAAAATGCTAGGCAGCCACCATGATCAGAAGTGACACAATCTCTACCGAAGAGCTATGTAATCCCTAAACCATAAAACCCTAAACCCTTAGACATATACATATACTCATACATGTACCATGTACAGAAAAAAACATATACGTATACATGGCTCCCTGGAGCTTGGACCCCACAGCTGCCAATAACCCGTACATTTCTGTGCCTAGGCTGCCCAGTAACCTAGGCTTAAAAAGCGTGCACTTTTTTTTGCTTAAAGGGGTTTGTAAGGGAACCTAAACCTGGGTTGTCCAGTACCTAGGGGCCTTAAAGGTTAACCTTTGGGATTATAAGGGGAATATATTAACCCAAAAAGGTTAAAGGTTATCTACTCTACTACTAAGAAACCCCCCAGAAAAAGGGAACAAGGGCACTACTGGGCATCCTAGGTTCAGGTACACCCAGGCTGAACAAAGAAGAACTTTCCCTAAACCCTAAACCCTAAACCCTAAACCCTAAACCCTAAACCCTAAAGCAGTGATCCAAGCCCATGCCAAACAAGGAGGGTCTCTATGGGCCCTACACACGCGTTTTCTCAGCCACCTCACAGGCAACATTGTCCTAACGTTTTGACCTGTGAAAACCTGAAAGAGAGCCAACATCAGTTCTACAGCACGGCTACAAGTAGTTTGCACCGGCCTCAGCATGTACCCTTAACCCTAAACTCGAAACCCCCAATAAACACGTAGCCCTGGGCCAAGAAAGGTTAACCTTTCAATTCTGGCAGGGATATATATATATATATATATATGCTATATATGTATATACTTTTTTCTACCACCCCAAAAGGTCAAAGGTTGCCTACTCTGTCAGGTACTAAGAACACTTCCCATCTTTCAGACAAAAGATCGTCACAGTGAACCCTCCCTGGATGTCCGAGGAGCTCCAAGAAGATCTGGTGGACCTGCTCCTTTTGAGTAGGGTTTAGGGATTAGGGATTAGGGTTTAGGGTTTAGGGTCTAGGGTTTAGGGTTTAGGGTTTAGGGTTAATGAGAACAGCTTTGGGGTTTTGGGGCAAAGCCCTAAAAACCCTAAAATCCTGAGCCCCAAACCCCAAGAGGAAAGTTCTCAACCGTAGGCCACCTCTTGCAGCACTGCTGTGCTGCTAAGGTTCACAGGGTTGGGGGTGTTAGGCACCAGCAACCTGGCAGGCTAGCGAAAAAACAGGGTTTAGCGTTTAGGGTTTAGGGTTTAGGGTTTGGGGTTTAGGGTTTAGGGTTTAGGGTTGCAGCAAATGTGTATCAAATGCCTTCTCGTCTAGCCCTCCTTCCCATGCTACTGTCCCACCAACGTGCCCAGGAGCACGGAGAGCGTTGCACGTTCTGTCTAAAGATCCAAAAGCCTACCTTTCTGACGGTTACTACAACGCATTGAACCTCTTGTGAAATTCTCCTAAAGAAAAAGCCTCGCTTTCTTCAGTGTGTGCAAAAGACATGTCCACTGAAGGTTTCCAAGGTTCGGGGATATATAGGGCAGCTTAGGCTTGTAAGATCCTATCTCTCATCTAGCTCGCGTTGGCACCCCCAAACCCCAAAGAGCCAAAGCCCCCCTGAACCCTAAACCCTCAAACCCTGAATCCTCTCTCTCTCTCTCTCTCTCTCTCACAGGCGCTCAGTCAATGTCAGGCCTGTCGTGGCATCACAGCCAGCACAAAAGAGGCAATGGCCTGCGACCACTGCACTTACAGGAACAGGCGACTCAAATCGGCAGTGGCTCTTTGACCACCGCGCACACAGACCGCTCTTGCATGGCACTTACTCGCACTTGCCCATCAGCAACGACGAACCCTGCCCCCGTGAGAAGCAGGAACCGACTCAATCACGAAAACGCAATCGAAGTAGAAACGCATAAGATGTTGCACACATTCCTGCCATCGTTCAGTATCCGTGACGACAGTAAGCTGCACGACAAAAGGGGGCACTTTACCCAGCAACCGAAGCCAGCTAAGCCAAGAAAGAACTGCGCTGGTAAAATCATCGTCAGCGAACGATAACTGCATCCAACCTTCCTGGACATCCAGCCACTTGAAGTGAAGCCTTCCCTCTTCTCTCCAGCAGAAAACAGCACGGAACCAAGCAACCGCAGCATTGTAACATTCCGCCCACCGCCCCCACGTGTCATCCGCACAGGTAGGCAAGGCATCAGAATCTGGCAGTGCGTACATTTGCTCTACCTTTGGGAACAGATGGTTCCACTCCACCTTGTCCATGTAAAGATTGGATATCTGAGACAAGGTCAACGCATTATTCTGCAGAATGTTTCGCATTACACTTAGCAGCCATCTTCCAGTGGTAATTGCTCTTCCATCGCGCACCTGTTTAAAGTCACAGAATAATGCCATACGTGTAGGATGGCTCACTGGCATACGAAGAACGTGACCCAAGTAGGACCAACGTCGCCACAGCCATGACCGAACCCACGAGTGCCCAGGTGCCCAATACCTAATCATTTCAGCACACGCTCTCCTCCTGATTCTGTGCAACCCCCTTCGCTGCGCATCGCCGCAGTGTAGGGGAACATAGAGCTGCAGCGCGCTTGCCAGAATTCCCAACTGAAAGGTTTTGATGGCTTGCAGTCTTTGCATAGTGGGGTGTACGCAAGGGGAAAACCATAACCACTTGGAAAGCACAAATACTTGCAACAATCGAAGAGCCAAGGGCCAGCGCACGTAGTGGCACCTTCGTAGGAAAGACCTAATGCTTTCAATGCCCGCAATGGCTTTAGCCTTGGCCTGCTCAAGCAATAAGTCACTCAGCGGGGGACCCTCAGTGGAAATTGATGCCGGCACCGTTAGCATGCACCCCAAATATTTGAATTGGGAAACAACCTGGCACTGTTTAAGAAAGTCATGCATATTGTGACGTGTCCGCTGGAAAAGCTCGCGCTGAGCAGGCGCCGCACAGATTTTGGTCTTTGTAGGATTCCAAATAAACCCAAATCGCTGGAATTGTTGCAGAATCCAAGGCACAGCCCTTTCCATGGTGGACAAGTCGCGAAACAGCAGTATACAGTCATCGATATAGCACCAAGCAGATACGGCATCCGGAAATTCTTCACACCATCTTTCCTTCAACAAAACAAACAAAGCTTCCATGGTCATAGCGAAGATTTGAGAACTATGGGCGCCACCCTGAAGCACTCCCTTGTTGAGCTTGAACCGACTTGTACGTCCACCCCATGACATTGAAAGCTGGTGATGTCGCATTTCGTGGAAGACCCGCAGGAGTTCAGGATGACATTGAGAGTCCGTCATTCTTAGAAGTGAGGAATGCATCACATCCCATTGCACATTGTCAAAAGCCCCCTGTATGTCAGCGCTCAACCAAAAGGACTCTGATTGTTGAAGTGATTCCCGTTCCAGCCTATTTGTAGCCAGCAAGAGCGAGTCCAAAAGCTGACAGTTGGCGAGTCCACCGAGTTGCGAGGTCGCAGGTTGCCACCCTTTCTGAACCCTGAGGATTAGCATCTTCATGTAGGTCTTGTGGAAAGTCTCCATTAGAGCAATAGGGCGGTAATCACTGGGCACAGAAACATGTTGGGTTTTTGCAATCAAGCACAACTCCGCAAGCCTCTGTTCTTGAAGGGGCTGGTGCAAAAGCATGAGATTGAAAACGGAGGTGAGGAGCGTGAGGCCCGTGGAAGTTTCCGCCAGAGCTTTGAGAATTTCATTGCTTATGCCAGAGGGCCCTGCAGCCTTGTAATACTTAAGACGCCCCACAGCAGCAGCAACCTCGCACTCAGTGAATGGGGCCGCCTCCGGCAGTTCCAGCTGCCACGGCAAGCATGGATCCTCCCCGTGCTCTGCACCAAACTTAGCCTGGAAATGGCAGTGCACATCTTGCACGAAAGCATCTTCGGTAGAATACTTCTCCAGCGCGCTGTCTAAGCTAATATGTTGATTATGCTGACGCCGCGCTTGACGAATGGAATCATAGTGGCACTGCGAAGCCAAATCCAAAATCTCATTGCACCAGGACTGCCTTTCTGCTTGTCTCTGGGACAAAATGAGCTTAGTAAGCAATAGCCGAACTTGTGGATCTTGTTCGAGGCGTCGTCGGGAGCAGAGTTCTTTTAGAGATTTGGAGTCTTTGAATTTCCTGCTACGCAACGGCGACGACACCGCATCCGAAAGCTGCCTCACTCTACGCCACTGTTGCTGCAATCCCAGATCACCGCACTGAGTATCATCTGCATCCAGCAGGCTTCGCAGTTTGAGCTTATCAACCGAATAGGGCATGCACCTAATGTTTTTAGAGCGTCTCTTCTTGCGAGGAGCATTTCTTGAGTTGAACAGCTCAGCCAAAACCATGGCATGGTCTGAATTGATAGCTTGTGCAGTGTCTGAAATTACTGTTGAAAGGACCTCTGATGGAGCAGAGTCAGGCGCCGCCCTCCACCAGAAGAAATCAAGTTCCCTCTGCGAGTCCTTGCCGAAACGTGTAGCTTGGCCTGCAAGAATATTCCCAAAGCCAAGAATGGAAAGCGGAACAGCCAGCAAGTCGAAACGCGGATCTCCCTGCTGGCAATTCCAATCCCCACCCAGAATAGTGTCATACTGTGAATACTTGGTAACAAAGGAACACAAATCTTGGCATGCATCCGAATACACCTCATCCGGGTACCCCGTATGGGGAAAATGAGCTGAGACGACCAAGAGATAGTTTTGGGTTGTAGCGCATTTGAAGCATACCGCAATAAACCTCAAGCCCTTGTAGTGGAAGACGACTCTCTCGCAAACCTCCCTATCAAGAGCAATCACCTGTGCCAGGTAGGCCTCGTTGTTGCCAGAAAAAACTCGATAATCATGCAAATCTGACGACTCATCCATGACCAGCTCCCTGAGATCACTAGGAAGACTCAGAACGTGATCACGAGAGTTGCCCTCCTTTACAGAATTGAGAGCGCCCGTGCCACCCACTTCTTGCAGCAAAATGAATTCCGGGGCATGATCTTGAAACACGCAGGCGCTGGCTTTGGCCACACTCTGCCCCCGAATGTTCCAAGTGCATATCTGTACAACAATGGGTTTGCATGGTCTCGGCTGGGCTCTGTGTCAGCTCTGCTGCATCTTGAAAAGATGCGCCTCAACTTCGGGTTCCGTCTTGCCTCGTATGTTGGCAATCAGGCCAACATTGAAATGGTATAGCGCTTGAGCCTGCTCAGGATCAGTAGATAGGGCCACAACTTTGTTCCCAGGCTTAGCAGCGAGTGCCACCGGGAAGGCTGCAGCTATTCTGGACTTGCCAGCCCAAATCACACCTTTCTTCCACTCTACCTCCAGCTCAAGATCCGGGAAAAGTGGCGCCAGCATACTCTTTGCCATCATGGATCGTTTGTTCTGCAACCTCACACTTCTAGGCTTGCTTGCAGAAAACCACAATAGCTTGGTGTCGTCAGAAGATTCCACTCCGTGCTTCTCATGTAGGTGTTGGCGTAAAGTGAGATACCTCTGAAACGACTCGTCACCTGGCAACTTGCTGAGAAAGATGTGACCCACTGAGCCTCTCCTTCCATAAACCACTACGTCTTGCACTTGCAGAGTTGGTTGATGGGACGCCAAAAGTGCTCGGATACGGCCAATGATTTCAGCTCTGGGGGTTCCGTCCTCCCACTCACCAACCACTATGTGATTATAGTCAGTATCAGTGCTGCTCTGTGCTGAAGACGCAAAGCCGCCGCCACCAGATTGCCCTTGCCTATCAGCAGGAGGAGGCATTCTGGAGAAGACACCTTGAGAGGGAGCAGCAGCATTGTGTGAGCCATGCGCAGTTTGTTGGACAATTTCCTCCAAAGCAGCAATTCGTCTATCAAGGTCCTTTCTTTCACGAACAGACTCCGACTCGAGCTTAGTCATTCGAGCATCGAGAGCTCCAAGTGAATCGTTACTGCGTCGAATTTCCAGTTGGAAACTCTTCTGAAGTGCCACAGCCCACGACGGGGCGTCAGTGCCCTCAAGCTCAAACTCATCCGGATGCTGATGAAGCCTCATGAGAGCATCGAGCTGCTCATCGGCATCCCCGTCCACATCATCCCCTCGAGGTTTCTTCTTCACAGGACCAGCAGAAGGGCTATACATGAGAGCTGACATGTCAGAAGCAACTACACCAACACCAGAAGGAATCCGAGCCGAAACCCTTGAGCCGTAAACCCTAAACCCTGAATCCTAAACCATAAATCCTAAACCACCAGAACCCTGTAGCCTCGTATGGGTCTCTCTCAACATAGGACTGCTCTGTATCTACCCCGCTCCCCAAAAAGAAAAAAAGAAAAGGCCGCCAATCCTTCAACAAAAGGACTAAAAACAGTACTACAGGGGCCTTACTAAGACTAGGGTTATTGGGGGGTTCTTATAGTATACAGGGACCCTAAGGGAATACTATTATTAAACATTCCGACCCCTATATTTCCTCTCGTTTTTCGGAAGCCCCAAGATATTGCGCTGTCGAGGCTCCAGGCGGGTTTGTGGCACAATCTGAATCACCTGGGTTCAGGGCTGATTAGGGCTCAGGGTCAGGGTTCAGGGTTTAGGGTTCAGGGTTTAGGGTTAGGGTTTAGGGTTTCGGGTTTAGGGTTGACTGGACGCATTACCGGGCACCTGCACTGTTTAGAGGGCTTGGGGCATCCCAAAGGGGATCAGCGATCAGGAACTTCGAAGCAAGTCTCACCGACCCCATGGAAAGCTGCGTGCACATTCCGACCTCCAGAATCCAACAGGTTTAGGCGATCTGCGAATGAAGTCTCAGACCAACCTGCCTGTGGCAAGTTCAGGTGACATCCTCATGGCTATGGCACATTGCAACCGCCAGCTTAGCTTGAGTACTGCAGGTGGTGTGAAGATAGGAAAGTCTGGTCGTGGAAGCTGAGCAAGTGCCACTGCTGGCTCTTATCAGGGAATCTGGGAGCCAAGTACCTCACATCCGTTTGAGGGATTCTATGGGTTACTGTACCTAAGTCCCCAAAACGCCTCTCTTAAGAACCAGATAGGCCGGCCCCTTATAAGCCCTCTGAAGGATGATCCTAGATATGATCCTCTCTAAACCCAATAAGGGAAAGACAAAACTATCCCAATGGCTTTAGGGTTTAGCATTTGCGTTTTGAGGGCTCGGGTTTAGGGTTTTAAGGTGGCCTACCTAGAGAACCCTAAACCCTAACTAAACCCTAAACCCTAGACCCTAGACCCTAAACCCTAAACCCTAAACCTGCCTAGAGAACTGGAGAGTTGAAAGTTCTGTCAGGAGGCAGTTGGGTCGACGAGAGGCGAGAAATCCAGAACTCGCCCACCAGAACCCTCCCGGGCTCAGGGTTGAGGGCTTCGGGTTTTAGGGTTTAGGGTTTAGGGTGAAGTTTTTGGGGGTGTGGGCTCTTGGGTGTGACGGTGTTTAGGGAGTTTAGGGAGTGTCGGGACTTTAGGGAGGTTCGGGAGTTTAGGGTGCACTATAATGCGCGTGCCCGCGCAGACTCAGGGTTCCGTACCAAGGTTGTGAAGTGCAGGTTCCGACTCCTGTATAAGGGGCTTCGGGGCCCCGACTTGGAGCGCCTGGCATGTTTTGGATGACTCATCTTCTAGGGTTTAGGGTTTAGGGTTTAGGGTTTAGTGGCCTGTCGGCTTGGTAGACCAGTATGAGGGCACCTTAGGATGTTCCCCCTTACACTAACAGTCCGTAGTAGGGGTTATAAGAGGGGGTTACTATGATCCCTGTCAAGGACTCCCAATGGGCACCCTTTTTGGGGTTGGGCTACTTAAACCTTGAACCAAAAAAAGGGGGCAACAACACTAGACCACGGGGCTACCAAGCAAAATAAGGGCCTTAAGAATTAGAACAGGGTTTTGGGGGTTATTATAGTATGTTTATGAAGGGACCATAAGGGAATATTGTTAGTACTTATGCCGACCACTGTAGTAGGGCTTCGGGTGAAAGGGAACTGGTTCCGTACCTCTTTTTGCCACCGCTCTCAGATGCGAACTGGAGACCGGAGATTTACGAACATAAGGGACCCCGAAAAAGACCCCAAAAAGCAGGATTCCCCCAAGAAGCAGGATTCCCTTACAAAAAGGTACCCCGAAAGGGTTTAGGGTTTAGGGTTGGTATCCCCTAGTTTCGGAAACCTCCATCGAAGGCAGACGGGCACGTGTACGGCCCTCACACCAGGGCGGTACTCTTTCTGCCGGCCTCAAACCACCAAAGCCGTCAGGGAGCTCCAAGGGCGGAGAAAGGCTCCCACTGCTACAATGGGGGCGGTTTAGAGGGTTTAGATTTTAGGGCTCAGGATTTTTTTCCCCACCCGACTCGCCACAGCACTGCGGGTTTGCTTTTTGATTTAGGTATCTGTTCTACACATGAGCGAGCTTGCTGCAGCAGGATGTGCAAAATGCAATGATCGCACAAAGCCTCTCAAGCCCTGAATTAGAGTCCCTTTTTGGGGGTCCTAAACCCTATTATAACCCCTAAACCCTTTTCTGGGGGCATGTATATATATATATATATGTATATATATATATATATTACGGAACGTGACCCCCAACCAAAGCATGAACGATGATGATGCTACAATGCTACTGTTATAGGCTGTTTCGGGAATTTATCACCTCAATTTCTTCGGCATTCGCGACTCCTTGCGACTGGCTACACTGGCTACACTGGCTACACTGGCTACACTGGCTACACTGGCTACTGTTGCTACGATTGCCACTGCTAGTGCTGCTGCTCGTGCTGCTGCTCGTGCTGCTGCTAGTGCTGCTGCTGGCGCCTGCTGCTACGACTCCCCCTTCTCTGCCGGATTGGGTCCCTGGCGGCTGGGGAAATTAAGTCACTCTGCGAAAATTTCTAAGCTTCTCCGAGCTGTTCGCCACCTTGAGGGCATGAGAGTTCTAATTTTAGGGGAGCCCTTTTCAGCTACCTCCTTGGTAGCCCAGCAAGCACATAATAACAAGGGGCACCTTTTTGGGGGTTGGCTACTTTGTAAGGGCCACCATGCATATAGCAGGAGTCCTCAAAGGAAGGATTCCCGGAGCCTACAAGAGAACCACCGTCAACCACCGATGCAGGGGCAGCTGTCCTCCAAACATCTGCTAATAGCCACTGCGCAAGAGCCACCCTAAACCCTAAACCCTAAACCCTAAACCCTAAACCCTAAACCCTAAACCCTAAACCCTAAACCCTAGATAGACCCTTGCAAAGTGACAGTTCAGAATGCACGTGGGAAGTGACCCCCTGCCTAGAGCCGCCTAAGGCTGTGGAGGGCCGAAATGCAAAAACCGTGGGTCTTACAGGAAGGCATCCTAATCCCTAAGCCCTGCACATAACACCCTAAACCCTAAATCCTAAAATCCTGAACCCGAAAGGCCTGGGTCAGGCTGAACCAAGCCTCCTTTGCTTGCAAGAATCCTCCCCCCCCCATGTACAAATTGAAGCCCGTGGCGAAATTGCTCCGGCAAGTGTCTGTGCATCTGGTCGGTTCTCAAAATGACAGTCCCCTTTAATTATTTGGCACCCTATAAAAAAGGGGCCGCCTTATAATAAGGACCCCAGAAAGGGACCACATTTTCGAGAAGTGACCATTTAAATACAATCAGCCTTAAATGGCCGAGCTTCAGTACCCTGCAACCGTGCGCGACCATCAGTCTAGTACAACGGCTGCCGCCGACAACTCCATCGTCGTGCGTGGGCAGGGTAAGCAGTGCTTGCGTGCACCTTTCGAAGACCTCTTTTAAGGCGAATATCACCAACCGTTCATGAACACAGTCGGAACAACAAATGTGGCAATTAAAGATGATTGAAGACTAGTAACGACACGAATCACGCGCGCAGCGCTCAACATTTCATTCCGGCAGAAGGTCCTTGCGCGGTCTTGCTGGTCTCTAGGGAGCGGGGAAGAGCGATGGCAGTAAGGCTTGCCTTCTGAGTGTACGAGTCCTGAGCCATGCAACCATAATCCCAATCCTCACAAAGCAAACAACATCTCGGGCTGGACTGTTTTCCCATGTTATCGCCCACATGTGACAGCACACAGGTGCAAGTGCACGCAGTCACCACGCCCACTTCTGCAGATTTCAAGTGCGCAATACAGGCAGGTCGGCAAGAACCGAGTTGCTGCCACCTCAATAATCTGACTTCGCTCGCATTCCCGAAGTCAATCTTTTTTGGGTTGGGTTGTCTGGCTCAAAGGGTCTAGAAGGTTAGGATTAGAGGCTTAGGGTTCAGGGATCAACAGCAAGTCTTCCATAACACGGTGCGGCGCCGTTCAAAAGCACCACCGTACAGTCCTCCAGAGCCAACCCACTCTCGGCATCAGACGCAGTCGGCCCAAAGGACCAGGAAGCGTCACAGAGGCTTTTGCAGTAACAGCTTGCGGAGTTGCTGATGTCGTGCGCAAGGGTATGTGGGCGGGTGGAGGGTCCCTACAAGCTAGAGAATACCTTTGACGGAGCAGGCTTTACGACCCTCCAGCCCCTCACGAAGGATGTGTCTTTGCACCCTGCCTATTTTAGCTGACACTCACGACGAAACAGCAGGGCAACGCATTGGAACAACCGCGCTACTTGTGCCTGTAAACTGCAGGCAGGGTTCAGGCGTTTCATGGCCACATACAGCCACCGGACGAAGTGACAAGGAGTGCAGCGTCTAAACTGCTCTCCCCTGACGATCAGAAATAAAAATCGCCGTCGCCCAAAGGCCTTCTAAGCAAGAAGCAGGAACCTCCTTCACCCTTCACCGGCAATCAAGAATTTTCGCTTCACAGGTTCACGAACTTCTGCTGACTTCGGCTTAGGTTGTGACGATGTCAAATATTTGAAGGGGCAGAGCGGGTGACGGCAAAGCCGCCCCCGGGAAAAGGTGGCAGACATGCTTGGTAAGTTGCCGAAGAACCTTAATGAGGGATTTGATCTTCATAACTGTCATAGCTTGGGATGTTCCCCCTTTAGACGAGCAGCTCCTTGATAGCGACTCTAGTACCCCCTTAGAAGAATCACTGTTGCGGACTGTTAGTATGAGGGGAGCATCCCAACCCTAAACCCTATTTATAAACCCTAAATCCTTATACAGGTTCTCAGGTGAGTCCTCGAAGTTCCAGCCATGGTGCGTTCAACGCCTTCGGACTTCTACTGAGCCATTGAGAAGGCGCGTCGTGGAGAATTGAAAAGACGCCAGACTACTATTTTGCTTGCGGACCCCCCAAAACTAAAAGATAACAATCCCTATACTACACTAGGGGGTGCTTTGCTTTCTGGAGGGTTCTTGAGCAACTAGTAGCAGAAGAAAGGAGCATGCACTCCAAAATAAAGGGTGGCTTCAGGCAAGCATGGGCCCCCACCGTTTGCGCGCCCCTAGGTTCCCCCATAGTGGAACCCATGAGTTTATGCCCCAGAGCATCAGATGCTGCGCGCTTCGTGGGGCCCATATTTGGTCGAAGATGCCAAGCGGAATCTCGAGTGGAATCTGTGCTTGCGTGAGCTTGAAGTGACGTCTCTTCAGCCTGCTGATGATGTCAGGCTTGAACAACAATCGATAGCGAGACTCGCTGCAGCTCTCATGTGTGCAAGACCGAGCTGCTAGTATAAGGGTGAACATCCAAAGATGGTTATTACATTCGACTGAAGGCTTCGAGACGTCATCTTGCCGCTGGCCCTGCCCACTCACAAAAATTGCAAGCAAATGGTGACTTCCCACTGCCCAGATCCACACATATCCCAAATAAGGGGTTTAGGGTTTAGGGTTTAGGGTTTAGACCAGATCCACCAAACATCCCAAATAAGGCAAATATTGTGGCCTGAATCATTAGAATGGGGTTTTGGGGGTTCTTGTAGTATATGTATAAAGGGACCATAAGGGGATATCCTTCGTAGTCATCCCAAATAAGGCTACGAACGACTCTCACTTCTCCCCAAGGAAGGAACATTATTCGCTTGGCCAAAATATTACCCCCCCCCCTCGCCATACACTATAACTATAACATAACAATACTGGGAGCATCTAATATTTAGGGGGAGGAGGGGTGAAAAAAAAAAAAAAAACTACATCCTAAACCCTAAACCCTAACCCTAAACCCTAACCCTAAACCCTAAACCCTAAGCCTAACCGAAACTGCAGGGAATTATACGTCTTGGGGAATGTTCCTGAGGACTTCGCTCGCGCTCTGCGTGAAGTTTGAAGAGGCCGCAGGTCTTCGAGGAAGCTGGCTGGGTCTACTACTTCCGTGTTTTAGGGTTTAGGGTTTAGGGTTTAGGGTTTCGGGTTTAGGGTTTAGGGAGCTGCATTAAATTCCGAGTTTGTACTTAAAACAGGTTCA